TCGCCATTGAATTTCCATAATTGCTTCTTTCCTTTACACCATTTCTTCCACTGCGTACCTAATCACTTCTCATTTGTTAATTCCCAATTCTGCTGCAAATATTCCAAATATCATTGATAAAATCAAAATGCATTCTTTGTCATTCGTTGAAGATCAATGTGAACTTTCCTAATTAACCGAAAATAAAATTAAATGAGAAGAAAAGAACAAAATAAAACACAAAAATAATGATCCGCCATTTGTCCGAAATTTAGGCTTGTGATTTTACTTGTCATCGGTATATATTTAAGTAAAAATTTGATTTGTAAAAAATTAACAAAAATTAGTGGAAATTCGATTAGTGAACGAAGTAAAAAAAAAATTTCACTGTATGCTATCACTGTAAAGACTTTTATTATCATTGGTATCTGCCATTATCAGTGCTACTTACTATCTATTTACTATTATCATTGGTAACTGCTATTATCAGTGCTATTTATTATCAGTGCTATTAAATTTTAATAAAAATATTCCAACTTTAATTTTTGCCATGTCAGTATTATTGTGGGGATAAATAAATGAACGGCCAATTAATATATATCTGATGGCAATTAATATATGAATGAATGTACTGATATTGGCACAAATGATATATAACTGATAACTAATGGCACAAATGAATTATTAAATATGATATAATTAAAGTTTTTTTAGATATAACTTAGAAATCAGTTTAATAAATTACTCAAATATTCATATTCAAGAAAAAAGAAGGAAACCGAATTTTGAAACTATTTTTTACACAAATATTACTCTTATTTACTAAAAACTACGATAGAGAAAAGGAAAAGAAATGGATTATTTCGTATTTCAAACTTTCTTTCTAAACTTTCTTCCTTGTGATAAATCAAACTGAGATTGTTACATTTCATATATTTGCACTTTTCAAAATCAAAATTCTTTTGAAATTTACTATATTTCACTTCATTATATTGTATTCAATAGATCCTAATGAATATTTTGCACAACATAATTAATTGGCATCAAAAGAAAATCATTGTGGAAAGCGATAGGATAAGTATATTTTTCAAGAACTTGAAAAATATTGCAGGTAAATTTTAAATTGCCATTTTGCAGTTGACCGTATCATTGCTATTAACTGACAGTAAAAAAGTTTTAAGAAGAGGAGAAGAAATCCCACTAATCATTCAAAATAAAATGCGGGAGTGAAAAGAAATAATTAAATTTTTATTTTTGTGCATTTTAGTTTAAAACTGAAAAATAATGAAATTTATGAAAATATGATTGAAAGATATTTTAATTAATAGAATAAATAATGCATGGATAATTAATTCATTATCAAAATACTGAATTTGTTCTAATAAATCAATTATAACATAATGGAAATTCAATAGAATTATTTTTGAAATAAATATATTCCTTTAACTTTCCTGTCATTACACAATTGAACAAATAGCAAAGATAAATTTAACTTAGCTTGATACTTAATTTTTTCTTAATTGAATTTTAAAAATAGAACAAAAAATTATTTAATGATATATTGTTTAATTAGGAGGAAGCAAAATAAAATAATTTATGAGTTAATTAATTAATTAATTGATTTGATAAATTGAGGAAATTAATAACATATCATTTGAATGATAACTCATTTGATCTTTTCCATGAAATTTTTCATTTCATTTTTTGAATTTTTGCTAAATTAAAGTAAAATTTTCAGTAAAGTGAGCATGTTATTTAGTAAAATAAGCCTTTTTTGGAAATATTTCAGAATTTTTTTGACACAAATTGTCACAATTTGAATTATTAGAGCTTTTTTTATAAAATATGTGCTAATTAATTTCATAGTTTCATTAAGCTCTTATTAAGGTAAGATCTATTCATTGAAATACACCTGAAGCAAATTTAGGAATATTTGAGGTTTTAAAATCGGAAAATTTTTTCTGCATCTATTAACCATAAACTGTTAATTTCGGACATTAAAATAAAACATTCCTGATTGAAGAAATGTGAAGAACCGAAAAAGAGCAAAAGGATGAGGACAGCAAATATTAGAAAGAAAGGCAAATGAATTTCCCGTTTAAAAATGATATTAAAATTGAATTGAATAGATTCATTGAATATATCGTCTTATCATTTTATCATTTATTACTACTCTCACAATAATCATTACTGTTAATTTTTTCTGCATGTCATAACTATTTGTCATAATCTACTGATAATTGTTAACGTTTTCAGCCTCAAACAAGTTTTTCATTTTGTTATACCTTCAGGGAATAATTAAAAAAAGGAAGAGAATTTTGAGAAGAGAAAATTATTGTACGCGGTCATTCCCACCCCACTTTACTCTTTATTTTACAATCCATTTTTAAATTACTTTTCATCTGATAATGTCAAGTTATCAAATGCTGATATATAAAATAAACCGCATTACTCTATTGTGCATGTATCATCACTTTCTAATTTTCATATATTTCAACCAGAATAACTGCTATAGCATTTTGATGGTTTTATCCATTAGTTTATGAGCCTATAATAGGTTGGTTATGCATGCCTATACGGTATCCAATGAGCGTTTTATGCATAGGCATATGTATTTATATATTTATAATGAAAAAGTTTGAAAATGTTTTTACACCAGGTTAACATATGTGTATGTGAAATATGTGTAGGTTAACATATGTGTAACATATATGTAAAAAATCAGTGTATCGTTGGACAATTAGCACATTGTTCTGTTACCGCAATGGTTTTTTAAGTATGAATTATCATAGAGTAATACTATCTCACTAATTTGAATATTATCATTTATTTTAGCCATCAAAGCCTTTCTTAATTTATAAAGAAGAATTCTCTCAAAAAGATTTACATATCTGTCAATTTTGTAATCTGTTCGGATGCAATCAGTTGAAGTTGAAAACTATTATCTTTTCCTTTCTTATCTGCCAGCTAAAAGATCAATGTTATTTATTCCACTCTACAATCTCTTCACTATAATCCAAATTGTTTCATTTCAAATATTGCAAACTGATTAAAAAGAAGTTTTTATATTAATATCAATTCCCTAAATAATTCGTTTAATAATCAATCATTGTAAAAAATAGCAAAAGAGAAATTGTAAAATATTTATTTATATTTCATCAAATTTTTATTATATAAATAAATTGACAATTTATGGCATTGTTTCTCTTTTACTATCAAATTTAATCATAAAATCTGATAATATTATCATCATTTTTTTCACAATATTAGCAATCTTCTTTAGTGGAATGAAATCGTTGGAATGAATTCGATATTTTCACTTCCTTCGATTCAATATCGAATACAATCAACAATTTGTTGTCCTATTAGAAATTCAATTGAATTGAAATGTTTATTTCTTATATATACGCATATTCCCACTTTATACTCACTCCATTATACGTTTTCTAAATGATATCGTGAAATTGTTTATTAATTTTAATTTATAAATATTTTAGAAAATATAAATATCGCACAAAAAATATTATTATATTCAAATAATATTTAAAAGAAAGCTTTAAAATATTTCTACAAAAAATGATAAAAATTTCATTTTCAAATCGAAAATTTTTCTTGTCCTTAAAAAAATAAATTCAAATCTATTCTCTTATTAATTATATAAATTGCACCGAAGCATTTTCCTAATTTATTTTCCGATTTATAATAAAATTTTCACTTTTCATTTTACTCGAAGTCAGTGAAGCATCTCTTAGAGTAGATGATTATTATTGGTTCTATTATAACCATTATCATTACTACTTCAAATCTACAACATCTCATACCCATAAAATGACAAATTTTTTATGTTAGACTATATTTAAAATACATTACCGTTAATTGGCCTTATGGAAGTAGAACGAACAAACAGAATACTACCAGTTGTTGTCAATGAAAATTTGTTTTCAAAGAGTTATTTTATCGTTACAAAGCAATCGATTTAATCAAAGATTTATTTCTTTATGAAAAAAGTGAAAACTTTTATGGTATTTCTTAAATTATTATCAAATCAACAATTATCTCTCGTCCTTTCATTAGGCTATAAATTTCTTTCACGAAATAAATTCTTAAATCAAATAAGTTTGATTAATAGGAAAAAGTTATTTAGGAATTTAACTTAAATTAAAAGAATTCTCTTCTTTTCCTATTTTTAAAAATTATTTCTATTTTTTTCAAAAAGTGAAAATGTCTCGTATTTCAATGAAAAAACATTATTAACATGTTAATTAAAATAAAATTTATGAGCATTTTTCAAATCCTTAAATATCAAAATTGTTGACAAAATTTCAATGACACAATTTTATAGTTGAATTTACTCTCTCTCTCTCTCTCTCTTTTTCTTCTAATGACTTGTAGGATTTTCCTACTATTATGAATAATATTAAAGCATTTCGAAAGTTATAAAATTCGACAAATAAATCTTCAGATATTTATTCATTAGCGCCATTACTGGTATTTTTATAGCGAAGGTATAAATGATATTACTTATTTTTATATCTAAGGTACTTTTATAGCTAAAGTATAAAAGATATAACTTATAAGAAATGATTCTCCCATAATGCGCCTTATATTTACGCCTGATTTATTTATTGAAATATGACGTGCTTTTATGTCCTTTTATTAAAATGAATTGAAAAAATAACAAAAAGAATATTCGTAATTTATTTTGTCTCTTCGTTTGCTTACTTCTTCGATACTTTTGCCACAAATAAACAATTTACAGTTATAGAAATTTCGACAATATCATTCATTGACTTTTAAAAATGATAATTATAATGATCTATTAATTCATTCATTTTAAGAATTTTGTACTTTGGAATATGTCAATGCATCATAGAAATTCTGTTATTGGCAAAAAAGCGGAAAATGTGAGAGTTCAATCGTTGACCTATTTTCGATTGCAATAAGGTTGTGGTAGAATAGAGGATAGCAATAAAAAATGCAATATTATTTAAAGATAATCAGTAAATAATTAATTTCAGGTAATGACGGAAGATTTAGGATTAAAACAACGAGAAGCAGAGGCGATGAAACGTGCCGCATTCTTTGGTATTATCGTTTCAACAATGGCTATGTTGACAGCGATCATTGCTGTACCACTTCTATACAATTACATGCAACATATACAGTCATCCCTTGAGGTTGAAGTTAATTATTGCAAACATTTAACAAAGAGCTTATGGCAACAATTTGATAAGGTATTCATTTTAAAATAAATTTTCCTAAAGTAATACGATCGATCTCTAAAGATGAAATTTTGCAAGTAACCATGCGATAGGTGCCTTATAACTTTTTGTTAGGAAAGTTTTGTTGCCAACTGAACAAAATCCATCCAAATTTCATGCAACAATTATAAATATTTTTATTGAACAAATGGATGAATACACCGTTGAAGAAGAAAAGGAAGTTGTAAAGTTCCGTGGCATCAAACAAAATTGAAATGGACATTAAACTAAATTCTATCTTTTCAAATGAGAAAACTGTTTCGATCGTATTTTAAAAACAGCTAAATCTTTCTTTCTATTTTTTTTAAAACTTACTAATTTTGTTCATTTAAAAATGTAAGCATAATGAGATGAAAGGGGGCCGACGAATAAGTTTTGTTTTTTCTGATGTTATAGGTACAAATATTAACCGGTGCTGAGAATGTTGACATTAACAATCGCTTGAAAAGATACGTAAATCGATGGCATACCGATCGGATAAAACGTAAAAAACATCAAGCACATACAGTTCCAACATATTCGGCAGAAGATGAAAAAGCTGCATATAGTGATGAGGATGAGGAAGAAGAGGAGGATGAAGAGGAAGATGTGGAGAGAGAGGAAGTAGAAGGAGAAGATAGCAAATTAGAATTGACAGAAGAGGATGTGACACAAAGTGAAATAATGCAAAGTGGTTGGTGATTTTGATCAGTTAAAATTTTCACTTACATTTCTGCTTAATTACAGAAGTGATTAGCAAATGGTAAAGATTGAAAGAATGGGAGAGACAGAGAGAAAGAAAACTGATAAAATTCCGATTGCCACCAAGAAATTTTGTCGAGAAATAAAAGCTTCCATTTCAGATGAATTTAGATTTTACCACACTTCGTTTTTGTTTTAATGCAATTATCTTTAGTAGTAAGAAGGATAGGCAAAGCAACGAATGATAAAAAAATTAAAGAAAAACCAAAATTCTTTCACTGACAAATTATAAAATAAAATTTGGTGCTGGTAATAAGTGTAATAATCGATTACGCCTAATCTCAGTGAATATAAAAAGTTCTGATAAGGAAAATAAAGCTTTTCAGTATTTTTACTTTTGTCTTATTTTATTCAACGAAAAAAGTTTTCAGAAGAAAATCCTTAAAATATAGAATTTAATTTAAATTTTTGAACAGAGAAAAGAAATGAATAAATGATTGAATAAATTTTATTGCAAATTAAATGAGAAATTGTCAAAAGGAATAAATGAAAATTTGAATTATTTATATTCTGTCCATAAGATGGAAAGTTGCAAACTTTTGTAATTTTTAATTCTTTTCATACTTATAGGGAAGAACAACAATGGTAGAAATAATAGCGTGAAATTTGCCAAAATATTTCAAACTTTTGTTGATAGCAAATCTGTTGACAATGGTGCAGGGATATCTGAAACTGTTGAAAAGACATGCTGTAGCTGTGGTATTGGAGCTGTTGGACCACCGGGTCTTCCAGGGCCTGATGGTGCAAACGGTTTGTCATTTGTATCACTGTAATATTCCAGATCTTACCATTTTATCAGCAAAAAATTTTATTTTCAGGTGCTGATGGACTGCCTGGAGCACATGGATCAGCCGGTATAGATGCTGAGCCAAATGCGATACCAGAAGAATATTTTTGCTTTGATTGTCCTCCAGGTTTACCAGGACCACCTGGAGCTCCAGGACCGAAAGGACTTCCAGGACCAGCGGGAGAGCAAGGAAGAAGTGGAGAAGGAAGCCTGCTACAAGGACTACCAGGACCACCTGGGTTTCCTGGACCACAAGGACCTCCAGGGCCTCCAGGACCACCTGGAATCAATGGCTTACCTGGTGTCATCATCGAGTATCCTGGATTACAAGGATTACCAGGTCCTCCGGGACCAATTGGACCACCTGGTAATGTAGGACAACCTGGTAAAATCGGTAAGCCTGGACCTACTGGTCCGGCAGGGCCACCAGGTGATCCTGGGCCACAGGGCGTGCCGGGAGCAGTTGGATTAGCTGGAAAGCCAGGATTATTGGGCAAAGAAGGAAGACATGGTACCTGTCACCATTGTCCACCACCTCGTACTTCTCCCGGCTACTGACATCCTCTATGGCATATCATTACGATTTGTAATTGTTCTTTCAATCACTTTAAAACGATCTGTTAACTCTTAAAGCTAGCAGATCATTTTAGCTTTTCCACGTCAATATTTTCAGCCAAAAATCCGATCGATCTTGATCTTAAAATAGTGTAATTTTGATTTAGACAGAGCTTTTTTTCCAAAGAAACGAAATTGGTGCTAAGATAAAGCTTTCATTCATTGACATCTATTTGACATATATTTTGGGAGAAATGTGTAAATCAATAGAAATAAGATTCATAAGAAAAGGAAATCTCTTAAATATATGTGTGTATATTAGATCTTGAGAATATCTCTCTGAAAATTTCTTTCATTAAAACCATTCGATTATTCAGAAATTTCGAAGAAAATTCAAAAGAAACTTAAAATAAAAACAAAATGAATTTTTGTTGTGTTAAATGCAAATATTTGTGCAATATTTCTTGTATTTCTTTTCACTTTCCATCCAGTTGGTAAAGTTATTTTCTTTATATTTTCTTCTCTTTCATTGAATAATTTTCTAAATTATTATTATTTCAAATGTTTTCATAAAAGATTACAAATAGCCCATTTCCTTTCATTTCATTTTAAATTCCAATTTTCTTCTTAAAAGAGATTCTTTTAAAGTTAGCTTTTCCAGAAGTGTTCATTGGATGACATTGCAGCAAAATATCGCAAATTTACAATTACAAGACAATTTCGATTAGCAAATTCATGCATATATTAAAGGTGCAAGATTGCATGCATATTCTTGTCAAATTTGAATTTTTTATAGGTTCTGCTTGTTTTTTAAGAAATTAAAGAAAAATGGAAAGCATTGACATAAACTGAAGAAATCAAATTCTTGAGGATAATTTATAATTGTTTCCACATGTCATCTGTTTAACATTAGTGTAATGGATAATGCTACTACAATGATTTAGAATAAATTTTGATTTTGAAGACTTTTCATTAGCCATTCGTTCATCTGCAACATTTATGATTCGGTATAAAACATGCTTTTTATGTGATTTTTATATATTTATTGATTTTTGCACTGAGAGATTGAAGAGAACTTCCAAAATTTCCTCAAACAACATAATAAATAAGATAACAAAAATCTTTTGCTGTTATGATAAATTCTGGCAATACATTTTTCATTATTGAAATACGAGAAAAAAAGAGATAAATGCTCCAAATCCATAATAAGCAATTATTACAATGAAGTAAAAAAATAATGATATTGGACAAAGATAATATTCTTTCCTTCAAATTTAATGTCCTGGAGAAGTTCGCAGTATCTGACATTGATCGCAACTATCATTCACACCTCTTTTTCCCGTTCTTCTTCGATTTTCCGTTTCTTCGTTGCCAACCATCCTCACTCTTTTTTCCTGGTGATCCTTGAGAACCAAGTCAGTCCTTCTTACCATCCATTCCTTTCTCTCCCATTGGACCAGGAAGAGGACCCTTTGGTTCTAGTAAACCCGGTAGTCCAAAAGGCCAATCTGTTTCAGTTTTAATTTTTCCTGGTGCGCCAGGATAACAACGAGATCCAGGGATACCGACATACCAACTGACTCTGGTGACCCATTGCTCCCACAGAAAGTCCTGGTGCTTCATCTGAACTATCTCGACTTTTTACACGATAATGACAATGGGGTTCGTCTATGAAAATAGCGGAAGACAAGTTTTGCGGTTATTACAACTCTTCATTGCGAATGTACTGATTATTATCGATTTGATCAGGAAATGGATATAGTGGATTTATATCATCGAAGACTGATTTACGATATTTCAAGTATTCTACGATTTGTTGCTTTAAGAAACCATTGATGCCAGGAGAAAAATATATTTTATCAATAACAACCATTTCTTCCAGTTCTTCTCACGTGTACCGAAATGGAAGTATTTCATGATTTTAAGGTTAAAAAGACCTTCTTTATAAATTTTCATCGAATAATAGGCCTTGTACGGATCATAGTGACTACGGGAATCATTGGCATATTGTATGAAACGAGTTCCTGTGACCAATAGTGTGATCAATGTGAGTTCGTGAAATGGACATAAAATAGATTGTTTGATTATAGATTGTTTGATTATTGATGTTATTTTATTTTGCGATACATCAAAAATTCTCTAACCGTAGAGATCTCAAAACTTGCGATAACTGAGGTTAGAAAAAAGTCAAATTTTATTCTCTTGGTAGGAAAACATTTAATGCAAAGAAGGAAATGATAACTTCAAGTACATTCTAAATCCATTCATTACTAATTGTGCTAATTACAATACTATTGTTTTGAGGAAGAAAAACAGCTGAAGAAATTATATTTTTTTATAGATATACTTATACTGCCGCATAGAAAAGTAATGAGGAATGATTGATCGATCAACTACATGCTTAATTTTCATCGCAATTATAACAATTACAGCGGTTGTGTGATTTTAGTTACTGTCGTCTTTGGTTATAGTAGTTAACATCTTATCTCTTTCCTTATACAAAACCCGATTTTGTTATTTCAATTTACCTGTTTATTAATTTGTCTACATTATGTTGCATGCGCTCTTTATTGCCAGTAGGCAGCATTGGATCCTCAACGATAGAGCTTAATTAATCTTTTTGTTTTGGCTAATTTCTGTTGAGATGATAAATGCTTACGAATGCTTATAATTGATATGATGATAGAACGTTATCAGTTATGTTTTTTCAAATTCAACACTGTTATAGTCCAAGAGAAGAATAAAAGAAAGACAGGCAGTGATGACGGATAATCATTGATCGATATGGACAATATCTGCTATCATTTTATTGACTATAAACATTGCTTAACAAAAATCAATGTCTTCTGTTCCACTGGAATTGAAGAAATTTGCCAAAACTATTACAACAGTTTTCCACACTTTTCATAAAGTGGTAATAACATAGTGAAAAAAGAAAACTATGCTCATATATATTCCTGAAATTCGTTATTTCCGAAATTTTAATTTGCATAATAATATCATGAAAAAACAAATAGTTGTCCAGTAAGTGACATCTGTTCTTGTAGATTTTCACGGACCTGACAGTTCTTGTCATCCTGATGATTCATGTAATCTCGAGCTCCCAGTCTTCTTGAATCGACTTGATGATTCAGCATCATATGGTACGTCTTCATCTGGTGTACCAGGGAATCTGGCCACATCTGAAAATCATGGCATTTTTTTCTTCTGGAAGTAAACGAATTTAAAAAATTAACCCAATTTATTATTTTAAAAATTTAAACAAACAAAAAGACTGATTAATAAGGTGTCAAGAATCACATGGACAATACCTTAACAAACGAAACAAACCTTGTATAATAATGCCTGGACGCCCAGGAGCACCCTGCGGTCCTTGTGAACCCGGAAATCCTGGTGGCCCTCTGGGTCCTGGTGGACCACGCGGACCTGGAAAATAGAATGAGTATCCACGCGGGCCTTCAGGTCCAGGAGGACCAGGTAGACCCTTTAAACCTGGATCGCCAATTTTACCTGGTAGTCCCGGAGGACACGTCATACATATATTTTCAAAGCGAATGCCAGGTTTGAAATCTTTTCCAGGTATTCCATCCTTGCCCCGTGCACCATGATTACCTGAATGACTTGGCAAGAATTTACATTAAAAAATTATTCATCTTTATTTTTTTGGTTATGAAGTGTTAAAATTTTATAAAATCCTCCACATATAATGAGTAAATGATTTTTAACCTGGTTTTCCATCTATTCCTGGAAGACCTGGAGGACCTGTAAGACCAACATTACAATTACAACATCTTTCTTCTCTCACTTTGCTGCTTGAATAAGGCAACGTTCGATTAACTAAAATGAACTGAATGAGTATAATTAATAATACAGACATAAGATGACATAAACTTCAAAAATTTGACTTCAAATTTGCATTAAATTGGCAGTTCAAATTTATGGATATGCATGTTAAAATAAATCTTTTTTGCTGATCATTCAGATTACTCAAAGTTGAGCAAATAAGGTGTGAGAATTTTCTATTTACCAGTTCTTGAATACGGAAAAGAAAATAAGGTCGGGGACAATCCGTAAATTTTGCGGTCTGTAATACGATAAGGAAAGCGCTTTCGGTAAGGAATACCGCGGCCACTATTCTGAGACGACAATGATCCGTAGTGATATAGAATCTGCCGCTGTTTCCGAATTTTAATATCATTTGTTTCATAAATCTAAAATCAAAATCTGTTAGGGATTCCATAATCTTTTCATATACATTATTATCATTTAGCAGAAATACAGGTAAAATCCTCACGCAACTATCTTCACTAAAGCAACAAATTAATATCTTAATAAACATTATGTGAACGTTTGACGGCCGATAATGTAAGTCATAAAATAGGAATATGGTCATTCCAGTTAAACCCAAATTTTAAGCATACGAAAGTTATATATCATTAGGAATCCAAATGGTAGGAGGTCATTTTATGTAGTCGAAGATAACCTGAATCAATTGAGACAACAGTGATCGCGATTGATCGAAACAATAATCGATTTCCGGTTCCAAAATCGATATGGTATATTGTATATAACTGTAGAGCATTGGTATCATCAGTGTAGCAGTAATGGCAGAAAGTACTGCCAAAATTACTCCAAAAATTGCTAAAATTCGGTATGATTTTGCTAAAACATGAAAATCAGTCGAAGCTGTTTCTACGGCTTTCATTTTCTGTTCCTTCATGAATATATTTCATTAGTTATTTTTCGCTTCTTATAGATTCTGTTAATCACATTAATTGTTGAATCAGTCTGGAAAAAGCAAAAAGAAAATTAGAATCCTTTTCAGTATTTTTTTGATATTCACTGATATTAAACCATCTGAAACGTACTGCTCTACATTTATTATATATGGCACTATGATGTCGCACATAGAATGTCTTATTTGCCAACATGAATTTGAATTAAATTAGCGACAAAGCTTTACAAAAGAATAAGACTGATTTGTAAATAAATTTTCCGTTGCTTTATGAAAATGTTAGCGAAACAATTATCAGTCAATTTTGCAATGTATCATCAAAAATTGAATGATAATCGATTTTTAACTGCTATAATACTTTTCATAGATGAAAGTAATAATATGGAAGTATGCGATCATAATTGCGACCAATGCGACCATAAAAAGTTCAAGTTCATGCCGAATTGAATTATTAACAGGTATCAAACACCTATCTACAAGTAATTTTTCAATCGCCAAAAAATTGTTGAAAAATAGAATTAAACATTACAGAAAACTTTCGTCTAATCATTACAGCTTACTGTTTTATTTTGAAGAGCTGAAAATGTGAAAAAATTACGAACGAAGAGTTAAAAATGTTCCTAAAGTATATCATGCATTAAAAGCATGCAAAGTTCCTCTTCATTCGACATAAGAATCTAACAATTGTCATCTCTCTATACACTTCTTTTTAGTACACACAGAAAAATGATTGATTCCTAACTGGCATTTTCCCGTGCTGAATATTTAGAAATCAGAAAAAAGGATGATTAGCAAAGTTTGATTAATATTTTTACAAAAAATAAACAACAATAAATGAGAACAGTAATGATTTTAACATTAATAATAAATGTGAATAAATTAAAATTACGACAACAAAGTATCGAACCAATACCAATTCATATTTGATATTTTCTATCATATATCTAATTATATTAATCTTAAAGAAAAAATTCATGAGAAGATGTGTTAAGAGAAACATTTGTAAACTATGTAATAAATCATCAATATATTTTTCATAGTCGCTTAATCCAGTCTATGAGATGGGCAGCATTTGAAGTGCTCAATGTACTGTAAAAGTATTTATTTGAATAACACTATATTATTGTCCACTTTACACATCATCGAAATTATGAAAACATGCAGATTGGTATATGTGTTACAATCTCAATAATATTATTTCCCACAAAACTAGAATAATTTGTTTATTATAATTTTAGATCTTCAAACTATTGCTCTTATAACTATCAAAATCAGGCTGATCAAATAAAAAAAGTTAAAATTGTAGTAATTTTCGGTAACTAAGGTTGCGAGTTAGTCCAAATTAGACAGAATAGTTGGCTTAGGATACAGCGATCTTCACTTGTAACAGCTCGAGGGGAAAAACTATCTGCCTTTCAGTTTACTTCGTCCACTTATAGAAAAGCTCCAACTGAAACCCTAATATCTTGTAAAATGAACTTTTGTACAATGTTTCATGCCTCAAACGAGGCAGAAAGTTTAGAAATATACTAATTAGATCAGTAAGACCTTTTGATTAATCCCTATCTTCATCATCAAATTGTGTGTACAAAAACATTGGAAATGCACCTGTTTCATTTATTTATACAGTCTTCAATAATTCGTGAGAAAAGTTGTTGTATGAAAGAAAAAGGAATTAAAAGTTAAAAATTAATCATTTCGCTAAAACAATAAGAAAAAATGGTAAAAATAGAATAAATCCCCCATTCTTCTGCTTTTAATAAGAAAAGAACTTTCCATAATTGATTGATCTAAAACTTTCCTAACATGTTTTAACAGGTTCGAAAATTATATTGATGAATAATAAAGGAACAAAAACCCTTTCAATATTTTTTAATTATTTGACTCATCTTGATTCCAGTTTTAGCAATGGCCTGCTAAATAAGTTCTTATTCGTAATTATGAACACAAAAAATTTTCTGCTGTCTAGAAACGTTCTAAAAGTATAACTGCAAAATAAAAAATGACACTTTCAATTATAACATATAAATAATATTTTAATCACATAGATACAATTACAGCTGGCTCTATTTGTTGATATTAATGATTATGCAAGATTTGCGATACAAATGATAAAAAATGTCATAAAGCCGTAAATAATAAAAATTCAAAAACTCCATTTGCAAGTCTTCTCTTAAAAAAAGACCTCTCCGTATATGAAGTTATGCATTTCTTTGTTTCTTTTGCTTCTCCTGTTCAAACTTCTCTACAATACTTTCCCACTCGAGAATTTGATAATTAAGTTGCTCCAAAAGTATTACGAATTTCTCTTTGAGATCTGCCACATTGCTGTGATGCCTGATAAAATTTAAAATAAGAGGTATATAAATAGGAGCAAGTAAAACATCACCTCATTTTCTTCATAATGTGACGTCAAACTTTATAGAATTTTGTCCAAATTGAAACAGTTTCCTAACTGAGGATATAAAATAGGCAAAATTATAGAAAACTGAAAGTGACATTCTTTACTTTAAAATGAAATTAAGTTAAACTGGAATTATATTTGCAATTATAATTAAACCAAAGAAATATTTAAATCGCAAACTTTTGCACATCCAAAGCGGATTCATTGATTTCCTTCTCGACAGCATCGAGCGCTGGTAGATGATGACTTACATTTGCAATTGATTCAGATTTGAACACAACCTGCAAGAAAAGAATAAATATTGCACAAAACGATGAAAATCAAAGCACATAGATCTTTGAATAATTCCTGCCCACTATTGAGATAAATAAAAATAGTATTTTACGCCATGCAGTGATAAATTTGTTCTCCTTTAGTACAAAAACATGAAAAAATATGTTACAATTTCTTATTAAGTTTTCAGCAATATTCTGTATGCGTGGAAATCAACACTCTGCTTTCTGGTTGGCTTTAGCCTTGGAATTAAATACTGGAACCTCGAAATAGCAGAAGCTGTATACTTTGAAATTCAAAATCCCGAAATAACCTCGGAATCTTTCTGGAACTCTTCCAGCAATTTAACTCGTTCGACCATTAAATCGTGACCAAATTCTATTTCTCTCCTCTTTTCTGTTGAGGTCAAATAATCGCTCTGAAAGTTTGCCAAATAATGATTTTTCAGCAAACAAATTGGATTTTCCAATTATCTTTATTCGGGTGACAATTTGAGATGAATGAGCATACCACTTGGCCATAATTGACGAGTGATCTTTGGAGGAATAAAATTGTAGAGGTAAGAATAGAAAAATCAAGATCGAAAAGCAGTCACTGATATATCTTTTTTGGTAAGGCATCTTGATAAATAGTTCGATATTCAGAAAAAGAAAATGGAAAGAGAAGGAAAAACTAACACCAGTTGCTAGATCAGTGATCTTTTGCAATACATCAGCTGGAATTTTCAGTAGAAAGCCACAGCCAACTTCGGACAACTTCTTCCGCAGAAGTGCTAATTCTTCTTTTACATTTGTAACGCTCCCCGCTTTCCGCAGACCTAATCGACCTTCCAGTCTTGCTAACCGCTTTTCTAACATATCCTCCATTACCTAATATAAACAACAATTGAAGAAATTGAAGACAAAATTGTCAAGCGACACCGCAAAAGCCCTAACTTAGCTAATATAAGCATTAACATGATTTCAAGAAAAATATTTAACTAAAAATGCCGGAGTAAAGCAGAATTGGCCATTTTTCACCATATGTCCCAAATGCTTAACATCGTTTTGGATATCACAGAACAAAACATTAAAGTAGAATGACGTTCACAAATTCCATAAATGACATTTTGAAGTATTCAATAAATAAAAAACATTGGCCCATTTTTTTATAAGTTTGCTCTTGCATAAATAATCGTATTCGGATTTCCTCACAAAAAATGATTGCACACATTTATTAAAAGAGTATTATCTTCAAACAGCATGAATATTAATCTAGTCGAATTCTTTTTTGATGGAAAATGGCAATACTTTAATATAACTAACTTCTCAAACTTGGAGCACCATTCAACATTTTAATCAAGTACAGCCTAAAACCTGAAATTTCTTAGATGCACATATTTCTACAAAAGAGAAAAAAGAACGAAGATCGATAAAAGGACTGGAGAGAGGCACGTGAAACATTGATAACTTGTTCGTTCCAAAACAGAGAGGAAAAACTACCTATCGAATTGAATAATCTGAATAAGAATGCAGCATTTATCGATTAGTTTGTCATTTAGTGATTCTTCATACGCTTTTAATACAACCTTCCTTGAAAGAGAACAAATAAAAAATCATAATTTATGAACAATGAAAGAGAAAAAAAATGAGCATAACAAAGTTCAGTATTAATGCAAACATTTAATAGATCTCTCTTGTAGAGATTTGAAAATACTGCTATACAAAATCAATGAAAATAAATAAAATAAAATAAGTAAAATAAGAATTTAAAAAGGCATAGAAAAAGGTTAGAGATTTAAAAGATTTAGGAAAAGCAATACATCCTTACCGCTCGTTTTTTTAATCTCATAATATGAAGATGATAATTCTAATAAAGGTCATCAAATTCGAATTCATATATCAATCATTCAACTGAAAGACCGCCATTAAATATATTGTGAAAATGTAAAAAAAATCGCCGACTCATCAAGAATAAACTTTTGAAGGGAGAATTCGGATGTGATCATACACTACAAATATAATTACAAAGCCTCAAAACAATTTCCTTAACTGCAGCAACGGACTGTTTTTACAAGAAATATTTTGAATGGCAATTAATTTGAAAAATTAAATAGTATTCCGATGATAACTGCTGAAATAATAAGAGACTGCACTGTAAATCTTAGACATTCGCCAAAGACACCGAAACTCTCCCAGAATTCATAGTACATTTTTATCAAGCTCGCTGATCTGAAATTTTAAAAAACGATCAAAATTTTCACAGGCAAAAGTTTCTTTAGCAATTTAATTTCAAAAAGAAAGAAAACATGAGAATAAAACAAGAGATATATCAAAAAATCTAGAAGAATCTCTGGATGAAAATCGAACAGATATGCGGCGAAATTAGGAAAAGAGAGCAACGAGGAAGGAATTGTAATTGTTAGATTATCGGTTTAGAAGTGTGCATAATAATTTATATAACAATAACTTACTTTTTCCATTGTTGAAGATGGGAGAAACGACCATCGAAGCTTGACCGTTCTGACCTTTTCCTGTATTGAGAATGGGTGAAAAGTCCATCGAAGCTTGACTGTTCTCTACAATCTATAAATGTTCTGCTGCTATCCAATGAAATATCATATGTCCGCCGTTGTTCTGGGATTTTCAAAACTTCGTACGCTGTAGTTAATTCGATGAATGCATCGTTTAGCCGTTTAACTTCGTGATTATTTGAGCGCTTCTTCCTGTCTGGATGTAACTAAATTTTGGTTAGTTTTCTTTATTTTTTAAGTCCAGAGAAGAATTACGCATGAAATCAATTTCCTTCCAGCAAAAACTCAGTAATATGACCTATGGTTTCACGATGTCCAGCAGTTTCTGGTCATTGCTGTCGTTAAAAAAGTTTTCGATGACAAAAAAGAAATTTCGAACAACACAGCATTTAAAACTACGGAACCCTTCATTATTTCACTACTGAATTAAAGAAGAAAGATTCTCTATAATTATTGTACGAAAAGAATATGTTATGAGAGAAAGAGAAGACTTGATCATAACAATATAAAGTATAAAAGCGTGAATCAGTATTCATTTTATGAAATTAGATATATACTCACTTCTTTTGACCTTTCATAATAAGCCCTCTTAATTTCTGCCTGTGTTGCGCCTCTCGAAACACCGAGTATTTCGTAATACGTAGAACTGCAAAGTTATTCATGATTATATCTATCATTTCAGCTGCTTAAAGATATATTTTCGTTATGTTCGTGAATGTAAATTAAGAAAAGGTTAAGAATTGTTATTTAACTCACCACCAGTATAACTTTTGTTAGAGATAAAATCTGGACGAAGAAAAGAAGATTGCAAAGACCCGCTCTATAGTAGTGGATTATTCTCCAAAACGGTAAAAAGTGAACCTGAAGAGGCACTTCTCCGTATGATAAACCAATTGCTGCCTCCATGTACCAAGTCCTAATACTGTTTGCTGTATATTTCGCCACCGTCCATTGAAAAAAAACATGGAAGGCCTGCAACTTTGGAGAAAGTTTAGATACTTCACTTCACTTATTTCTTTTTTGTTCGGCACACTTATTATTGAGCACAACGAAATTAAAACGACAAATAATAACGGTCAATGATAGATAAATAATTTGTAATAGATTTGAAAATTATTACTAAACGATTAAGAAACAACTTAAAATAAACAACTAAGCGAAGGATACAATCTCCCTCACAAAACAAAAAAGCAACGACAACGTAAATTATTCATTCGTTTAAAATTAAATGTTCTCAATCAGTGGCAAATTGTCAGGCATAGTTTCTGCGCATTTTTCATTCTTTCATGGAAATAAGATAATTCTCTTAGGAGGCGCTATATTCTACAATTCTTCTTCAAACTATCAAACCTCACAATATGTCCCTTAACAAGTCATTCTCTCACAGACACTTCATAACGGCTTAAATACTTAATTCAAGCTTCCCAAAATCGATTTTAATCACTAACACTCTCGTTAAGACAGTTCTTCCACTTCCAGTCATTTGATTCCAAATGTTTCATTATCGCTGCATACCATGAGTTATGAAATAAAGTTCTCAGGAGGAAAATGAAATTTGTGAAAATTTGGGTGATGAGTTTCCTGTCTGTTGGTCTCACTATTCGAATCTCATTCTTGCTGTGGGAGTTACTGTTCATCGTAGTTTTACTGTACTAACTCAGACGATCCAATAATTGTTTTACAAGTTAATGATATTACCATGTATTGGACATAGTCTAACATTGATTTAATCATTCCCGAGATTATCCATATGTTTAATTTCATCCAATAATTCGATTTTCGTTCATATTTGTAAGCTAGTTTACAAGTCGGAACGACAAGAATAAATGAATTGGTCAGGTTGATAACTTGTGGTAGGATAGGAACTCATTACTTTCGTTCTCTAATTGCTATCTTGCCTTGAAAATAAGATTTCATCGATTCTGTCGTGATTTTTTTTTACATATTCATAATATAATTCAAAGTTGGAAATTAAATCTAATTGAGATTATTCGTAAGAGGGATGGATTTAGGACATAGCAGATATTTTAATTGTAAAATATCAGTAATATATACTTAAGTACAAATAAATCATAGTATTCACATCACAAGTTTTCTTTCCAAATATAGATATATGTACAACTTCCTTACCCTGAAAAGGTAAGAGCATCCCTTAACGATACAGAGCAAAAATTAATAAAAGATTTTCGGGGTAATATGATGTCCCTGTTATGTGAAAATAGGTGCAACGCGCTGATATACCATTTGCAGCTCAGATATAAATCCTTTTCTTCATTTCAAGACATAGATATTAAACCATTTATCACTCTTTCTGCTTATGTTATCACATTGTTATATCACATTGCTGGGACTCATAAATCACAGTTGGCATCATTTCCAGTAATAAGGTTATTCATTTTCTCGAAACAGTTTATGCAACCCCATAAAAACAACAACAAATACATTGAGCTTTTGTGAAATTTTCTCAACAATTAAAATCAGTTATTTTATTTCTCATTTTTTTTTTGAGGACGAATTTCACTTATCAATCCAGTGAATTAATTTTCATTTAAATTTCAAAAATCAACTTTACAGGCATCTTATCCTACAATTTTATTTGATATATTATTTTTGAGTGATTTGGACACTTTTTATGGTTAATTGTGAAGTGTTTCATTAATAAAACGTTAATTATTGAAATTAGAGTATAAATTAATGAGGAATTTACACTATAATGTATAAATTAATCGAAAAGGAAAATGAATTCCATTCTGATTTAACAATTTAAATGATGGATGCTATACAAATTGTTAGTACTATTCTTCAAGAAAATGAACTGATATGTTATAAGGATCATAAATCAATGTTAGATAAATTAAAAATTATAAAAATATGAAAAGAAAATATGGAAGAAAAATATGGATTGATCTCAGGTTCTTAGCAACAAATAGATCAAAACAAATTTCAGAAGAAAAGTTCAGGTAGGTCATCTAAGATTTCAAATAAGTAAAGCTAACACTTTCAAAACAAGGCATAAATTTTTGCTCAAATAAAAATTGATTAATCACTCATTAAAAGTTTCATTTAAATTTTAAATGAAATTTGGTTAGAAAAAAAACATAAATGTTAGATATTAATTACATCGTCGTTTGATGAGATCATCAAACGACCTCTTTTGAATGCAATGACGAAACAATTCAATTCATTTCGATACTTTGATCCACTCTCATGTTCTTTCACGACAGCGTACATTCCGAGATACCACTGCTATGATAGTACAAAATGCCATCTGTAAAATTGATTCAAATTTGTTTCAGTGAAATATTTAAATCGTTTTTCTGAAAGCTAAAAATGAACTAATTTACACATATTAATTATTGATTACTTCCTTTGTTCTTTATGAAATATTTTCAAATTCGCATTTAATTATCCTAAAATTCTCATTTATGTGCAGCTAATATTTAAAATGAATTTTTTTCAACTTATTCTCAAAATGAACATTTACAAAGCTTTTAATGAAACTGAACTGTTGCTAAAAATTAAGATAAGTTAGCATAAAGTTTTCAATTTTCCTATCGAGAAAATAAAAGCAAAATTCAATCGATTTGCTTCTTTAAAATCCTATAATTTGCAAATTCTATTCTTTCACACTTTTTAAAGAAGTTTCATTCTTTGATATGAATAGATTATTTCATTTTATTGGCAGTGGTTGGAAAAGAACTTTCAAACTTAGAATTTTGGGGAGAGGTAATTCTGAAAAACTAAAATAGTAATTGAAATAATGAAAGGAGAATTTACAAAAATAGTGAGTGGAGCAACCAGAACAAATAAATTCCATGTCACGCAAACAATATGATCATGACCCATTTCATTAACAACAGCTTCCGATGATCGATGACATTCTCTCCTAAATCATCACATCCGGAATATAATGCACTATTCATACATTATTTCATTCTTTATCAAAATATATTACACTCATTTTAATTCAGTAATTAATTATGCAATCAATAAACTACTACGCTATGCTTTATGCATTTTGAAATTTCACGTATTATTTCTCTGAAAATCTGCTTCCAATTAAAACAAAAGAAATTGTTGATAGAACTAAAAACTCACTTTCTGAAATGCCTATCGAAATCCAGAATTTCAAGTGGTTGCGAAACAACGTCCAACACTAGCGTTTCATCATTTTCTATCATAAAAAGTAAATCTCTCCTGTAAATTTCTTATAGAAAATAAAACATCTATTCTTTTCTTAAAGATGACAGTTATCATTCCAAACTTTATTCGAAAATTTTATCTTCTATATGCCTTGTTAGAAGGATAACATATAGGCCTTGTCATTTTCAACTATTTGATTGAGTCTTTCCTTAATCTTAGACAACATCTCAAACTTTTCTCGGAGAAGAAATTACTCAGCAGTGCAAAACTATATTTTTTTTTTAAAAGAAAAGATCAGTAAACTTCCAAATGAATCAAACAACATACCTATTCCTATGATTGTCAGGACAGGTTGGTTTAGGACATTGATGAGTTTTTAACGGTAACAAACTTATTTGACATTGAAAATAAACGTAAGGTTTTTCAGCAATGCCAAAAACGGATACGTTTTGTTCAACATTCAGCTGCAAAAAAAAGAAGAGATAATTCCAATTTTGTTTAAAAGAATAAATGGAATAATTCTTTTTTCAAATCTACAAATCCGCATTTTTATATTGATGTCATTCGAAAACCAGTAAAATTTTGATCGAACAAAAATTTCATTTCATTCAATAATTTTCTTCTTCATTAAAAATTCATAAGAGAAATGAAATGTGTACATTATCAATGTAGACTAAATCCGCAAGAATGGCACGATCCATGGAACATCCTTGATTATCGATAAGCTGATGCTTTGAATCACTTGCCATCACGAAGCAATTAGTGATAGCAAGACATAATTCTTGATCCGAACGAATGGTACAGGACCAATGATGACGGACCACTTCACCGATAATTGCTTCATCCACAATCCTATTGTCAATTAAACTTCGTATCTGATATTCGCATTGCGGCATTATCGTCGATCCACCGAAAGCATCTAGAAGTGGAAAATAAATTAGATTTAAGTACTATCGAATGACATTGAAATTTAGGATCCATAGACTAATGAAAGTTTAGTAACTGCCCATGAAATTGCCGTCAAATAGTAATGTGGCGAATAATGCAGCACTGATTACTTAATTTTAAGATGGTAACAATCTGTGTAGCGACTATTATTAGTTCAGCAGTAACAGCAATGATTACAATAACTGTTAATTTATCTGGATCTGAATTCATTACAATTCATTAAATCAGGAGAAATAAGACAAAAAGTTCACTAGTAGATGTAATAGGAGGTGCAACTGATCCCGGGAGTAATGATTGATCTGATGCACGAGTATGCAAGCATCGTAATCGATAGATTCGATCACCAGAAGTAACATAATGGGGATGAAATGAAATTAGCACTGATGTTGCAATTATTACACCCATTGGCTCTAATGATCTGAAAAGAATAAATCACAAAAAAATTTATCAATTTTAATTTAAACCTGAAAATCAAATATCTCATTTTAAATTAATTTAATTTTACATAAAAAATTTCTTTGAAACATTTATAAGCATAATTTAATTAAAAAACTGAAAATAAAGTTTTAAATTAATTTGCGTTGTGCAATTATTTTATTTTTGGATATTAAAATCAATAAGAGATTTCAGCGCTTATTTTTCATTTTAATTTTTTTAAAAGTTTCTTTCTGAAACCAATAATATTGCAGAAAGCCAATTCCAATTCAACACTTTACTAAGATTTGCTTTCATTTACACCAAGTAGTCAGCCATTTTATAAAATTTAGGTTATATTAAAGGATACTAATCTGATATGTTGTTGTCACAAATGAAAATTTATTTGATTATCTCTTAAGAATTATTATCTTCAAAAGAAGATGCTTGCTTATGCTATATAAAATCTCTTCTTTAACACTGTCCACTCTTGTCCATCTTCCAAATTGGACCATTAATAAAGAGCAATTTCTAATAACAGAAAACTGTGTAATCATTATCCAATTGATTTATCCTAAAATTTGCATAATAAATGAAAAAATAAAATTAGCATTTTATGTTCCAATAAATTTGTGGCTGTAAGCAAACAACAATAAATTATTTCGTTTGACTTTATTTATTCAAATAATTTAAAATTTATCGATTTCGAAGTAAATTAAAATTCAGAAATTTAAATAATTCAAAAAACGCTTAAAAAATTAAAAAATAGTTTTTTCTTTTTCTTTCACTTTCTATTCAACAATGAACGCAATTTAGTCATTTCAAAAAAGAAATTTAAATTATTGCAATTTCGGTCGAGAAGATAAAATGATATCTTAACAATTTTGTGTGCCATTTATGTGTGTGTGTGTGTGTGTGTGTGTGTGTGTGTGTACTTATTATTTCAGGAAATATTAATAGTTAATAAAAGATGAGGATAGGATGAAAATACAAAGCATTTTTTAAAGCTTTAAAACGCTAATAACTATTTCTTCTTTCTTCACAAGCAATTTGTTTTTGTTTCCTTTCTCAAATCATCCTTTTAAGGCATGTTCAAATCATTTATAATATTGTTCCTAAGACCTTTATTTTTTCAATAATATTGTTCCTAAGGCCTTTCTTTTTTCCTACGGTGGTAGGCCTTTCTTCATATAAATTATTACTTCCAAATAGCATTCGATGAAACGGAAAAGGCCAAATTCTGTAGCATAGATATTAAGGTTTGTGTGGAAATGTCAATAAAAAATTTATGGGAAGAGAAGTTCGGTTAAGCATTCCATTTCTTTGCCGTTCAATTTTTCGCATCAATTAATTTTTTGAAAATAAGAAACTAAAAACTGAAAAACTTCATCAATGTAGTAAAATTGATTGAAAATTAAAGATGGGAATGGAAAGATATTTTTAATTTTATGAGAGAATTTTAGCAAAATAATTTATTAGCGGATGTTAACAAATTTAACGCAATTAAGATAGGTAAACAAAGGTAGAAGGAAAGGAACGGAAGAGAAATAGAAATAAGATTTCTTTAATTTGCTTTTATTGTTTATTGTTTAAAGATAAAATTTTAGCATTGCAACAGGTTTCTCCTTTCCGTTTTCATTACAGGAATCTTCCATCTATTTATTTTATCTTTCTCTTCCGGATTCACCTTAAAAATCATCTTAACAACAAAAAGTGTACATTTTTATTATTTTGCAATATTTCTCTTTTGTTCGAAATTTCAAAATCTATTTAGAATTAATGAAAAATCGGCTCTTTCATCTTACAAACGCTAAAATATCTTGAAGGAAAATTTTTAGTAATTTTCGATTGCTTTTAATTTTCATCGATAACTTTTGTAAACAATGCTCTTCAAGAAAGCATAAATAAATTATTCATTTATTAAAAGGAATTTATTCATTAACTTTTAATAAATGAAAGTAATGAATGATATGTTTGCATAGTTTATTAAAACAGACGAATATCATTTATTGATAACTAACACAAACTATCAACTAATCATCGATTGTAATGATTACAATAAAACACGAATTAGTTGTTCTTAATTGTTATGAAAAATGATTAAGTATTGAAATAAGTAATTATCAAACAATTTTAGTAATAAAAGAAATTGTAAAGAAAGAATCGATCAAATAAACTGTTAATAGTCGCTATTAAAGTTTACAAATACAAAATGTATAATTATTTCATTTCACCAAATTTCAAAGCAAAGAAAAGGAAATTTCTTTTCACATAAAAAGAGAAATAAAGTGAGCTATATCCAATTAACTAATATCCATCATCCATTAAGTAATGATGAAATTTAATTTAGTTTTTGAATTTGCTAACAATTATCCTTTTTCAAATTTAAAGATAGAAACGGGACTAACCTTGTTCTACTCACTTGACAGTCTTGATGTGGTATGAGTAATTCTATTTGATTATTTGTTACCAATACCTGATAGCAGAAACGATTCGGCGCATGTCTTACATTTACATGGCCAACAAACGTCATATTCGTTTTCCATTTTACATATATCGCATCTGCTGAGCAACTACAATAATAATCATTCGAATAAAAGTAAAAAATATTTCTATTTAAAATAATTAAAATAGTGACTAATTAGAAGGTAATGATAAAAGTAGAATATTTCGATAATAGTTAGTATTTTATTGTATTGTATCAAATAATATTATTTAAAATCTTTTCTTCAAAATAACTAAAGCTAATTAATGAATTGAATTTCAATTAAAAATCATTAAAAATTGTCGTTGAAATTCTATAAATTTCATGTTTTTATTTGACTTATTAAATAGAATCTCATTTAATTAGTTCAAATTTTCAATTTTAATCTATGTCATTCAGAACAAAAGGATTACTAACAAAGCCATCCAATGATTATTTTTAATCTCAAAAATGAAAATTGAACTTTTTTTAATCATCCTATTAAAGTACTGTAGATTGAAAAGAATATGTTATGTTAAAGAATATGTTTTGGGTTCATGTATCCATCAAAAGGAAATAATAGTTTAAATGACCTCAAATAAGAGAGATCATTGATTGAGTCTGAGAAAATTTTGTTGCAATAATTAGAAAATGCCAAAATAATCGTTCATTTCATTTTCCTGTTACTTTTGATAAAAGAATTAAAGAACGAAATATTGGAAAATGTTGATGATAACAATTATTGACATATTAATAATTATTCATTTTCATTGGTCATTTTTTTACTAAATTTTTTAAAGCGCTAAAAATTAGAAATAATTTTTAGTGAAGCGTTGATGAAAGTGACAACTTCAACGGAAGCTTTCAACAATGTCAAAAAAGTTCAATGATGAAATAAATCTATTATGACATTTTTCGATTTACTAATTCATATCATTTTTATCTATTCCGGTTTTTTTCTGGAACTCTTTCGTCTGAACTTTTTTTCTTTGTCATTTTCAATTCATCTTTTTTAATGTTAAATTTAGAATAAATTTATTTCTTTAACTTGAAATTTTTTTTCAATGTTAAAAATGTTGTTATCTAATCTCTGTACTAGCATGGTAATAATCAAACGCTTCTAAACATTACAATCGCATTACCGGAAACATATTTAATATTATCTCAAATATTCGATTTACATTGGAAGATAAAGATCGACACAGAAACCCGTTTAATTGATGTTCCGCATGAAATTCGATCAACTTAAAATTGGCATTACAATTTCATCGATAAATCTCATCCAAATTTAACAAGCGAACAATAAATATGCAAAAACCGAAACATTAATATACAAAGAAAAAAAGAACTTTACGAAAAGTGAAACAAATTAAAATAGGAGAATATTTCAGTTTAAAAAAAGCGATAATATTTCATTGAGATATTATAAGTTTTCTGTATCTTATCATTGATTGGATATAATGTTATTGCTGAATATACCGCGAAATAGTGCAAATAGCAGAATGATAAATGTCGTAATTACAAAGAGATTAGAAATATTTCAAATGATATCAGAAGGACATTCATTATCAATGAGACAAAATAAGAGAGAGATAAAATTGATAATATTCAAACTCTTTAAGATAAGCCTTTTGAAGGAAATTTATAAACATTCCAATGAATGTATTCATTTCCTTTTCATTTTACTAAAAATTTAATTCATAAATTTAATTTTGTTAAATATGAAATCTAAGAAAAATTTTGAAATGAATGCATACAATAAAAATTGAATGTAAAATATCCGTTTTCTCTTAACAAAATTCAAATTTTCTGCATTTCTTTTATATATTATGTTAAGATAATAATTGTTAGAAAAGATTTCAATGGAACTCTTTCATGAAGTTATCACTTTAACGATGATAACTGGAATGATTGATGATAACGGAATTTCATTATTCAATTATTGCATTGAAGAGATTGCTGTCAAATAAATGAAATCTGTCAGTAGCAATATTTGAATATTAAAATGGCGGTAACGAAGAATTGAATGAAATCTATCTTTATTAATTTAAGTGAAGCGAAAGAGAAGACTAAGAGCTCAAAAATAAAGCAAAGCTGATATGCACTTTTTTCTGGAAATTTTTTGAAATGGAATTTTCCTTTTAATAAGAATGGCACAACCAAATGTAATTTGGTTTTTATTAAGATAAGAATCAAAGTAATGATCTCATCTTTATGTATTACAGTGATAACGAACTGTAGTGATAAATTGAAGATATACTTACAATTGATTATCATTATTTCTTTGTTTCTTTCTTGATAATAAAAAGAAAATGATTGTTACCAACCTGATAAATGGTTCGCCGACGATTTCATTAGCAAATAAGACAAATGCATTTGTGGCAAGTATATAAATAGTTGCAAGAACATGTTGCTCCGAAATGTGTGACATTTTTTTACAGTAATATCTTAGTAATGATGATGATAAGTGGAAGGTGATAATAGTGACAACAGTGATAATAATAATAGTAATAATAAAAGTAACACTAGTTTGAAATAGAATACTAATTTTTTTATTAATATTACATCAGAAGATGTGATAGGAGAAGAAGAGGATAATGCTTGGTGCATCAGAAACGAGATATTGGATAGTTTAATTGTCGAATGGCGGTAAATGGATAGTTCAATTGTCGAATAGCGGTAAATGCTGCTGATAATATCAAAGGATCACTTCAAAATAGCTCTCATCCAACGTGAGAATCAGTAAGTAATCTCGATTCTTCAAATTGTTGTTAAATATTTTGTTTTTATCAATTAATACTTTTTTCATAACAATGAGGACAATTTTAGTAATGAAAGTAAAACTTAGTAGCAGCGGTAAAACTCTACAAGATAATCAGTAATAAAGTGGTACTTATCACTATTATCAATATCAGTAGTGATACTACCGGTAGTAGTATAGTAGTGATAAATGAGCAGAATGATAGATCAAGTTATTAGCTCCTCGGGATGTAACAAGAAGAACCCTTAACATTCCTTATTGACTGATACCAGTTCTATAGAGCAGCAAGTCTATCTTTGTTCATAATTTTTAAAATTTGAAAGGGATGACTAACAGCAGACAGCAAGAAATGTCCTTTTCCTCCCCGATGTACCCGTCCCTCACCCATTCATCCGATATCTGCCAGCCCATCTCTATTCCAATCTCTTGGACCGCTAGACAACCCCGCCCGCCCATATATTCATTACGGCTATAACTAATTTCACTTCAGCAAGCAGACATTCCTCAAAAATTTACTTTTTTTTTCACCAATAAATTTATTCTGTTCCTCTTCCACTCGATGATGAATGAATGAAATTCGGATTTGTTTGAAAGCATTCCATATCATATGTAAGTGACAGATTAGCAGATAGGTTCTCATTATTACATCCTTTGAGATAAATGTTTCTGCGGTTTCCTTTATTATATACAACTGTTGAAAAAAAAGAAAAAACTAAAAGAAGAAGATTAATATTTATTTAATTGCCTGCCGATGATAAGGTGATAAAAGAGATAAACAATAAAATTCGAAAATTGTAATTAGAGAATCAGAGGGAAGAATACACTAAACTTTGATTATCATTGAACTTTAACATTCCTCATCTGGCATGACTTCATAAATTGAACTCAGTGATACACAACATAATTAATTTGATAGCAAATTTTTATATATTCTAATCACTTTCTATAAATTGTTTTCAAATGGAATCAAAGTTTTATTTTAGCTTCTTAAAAGCAAATAATTCATTTTAGTAATTTCCTTTTGTTATTTGAATTTTATTTTAATAATTTAAAAAAGTTTGTTTGAATATAATTTTCAATTTTACTTCGAATTTGAAAAAGACAAATTTGCTTTTATTGACAGATTAATATAAGAAGAAATGAGAATATTTTTTGATGAAAGATGTGGATAAAGAAGAAAAAAAGTAATAATTTTTCAAAGATTGGAATTCTCTTCTTGATAGGATAAGCGAAAGGATTTTCTTTATTAATCATTTAAAGCCTATTTGAAGTATTTAAAAGTTGAATGAAAATAATTTTCAAAAGAACAATAACTATGTATTATTCATGGCTGCTTCTTCTATTATCGATTATTGCTATTGAAGAGGGCCTAAAATTTGGCTTTTGGCTTTTATTTACTTAAAGCGAATGAATTTACGACATTCCAAAAATTTCAGCAATTACATTTCACATCATTTGCAAACGATGTGATAATTTAGTTTTAAATGAATGGAAATATTTAACGCTAATTTTAATCTTCAAAATTGTTGCCAAAATGCTTGATTTTATGATTATTTCAGGATATTGATAAATATTTCCAAAATAAATTTGCAATTAATTAATACTATTAAAAATTATTCCATTTTTAAAAAATTTTTCATTTTCAACCAAATTTTCAATTAAACTTGCAATTATAATAGCCAGAAAGGAAATGTACAATTTTCTATGCTAATTAAATTATTGATTATCATTCATTACCGAGATCTCTCGGTCTATCATAACGGGAGTGTAGTAACAAACTATTCTATCACATTGCAATATCAATTGTATATGTTTGAATGTCACATTATATTAGGCAAATGTTTTGATCTTTTTGTTTTTGCTTTAATTTCATTTCAAATATTTTCAACAATAAATGATAAAATTAGCAAAGAAAAAAATATAAATAAAAGAGAACTAATTGTTATGTAATCAATTTGTGAGAAAAAAAGAAATTAAAGTTAAAAAAAAGTTAAGAGAATAAGGGAGAAAGTTATTTATGATACAACAAAGCTGTCTTACAACAATTTTAAATTTCAAATTTTGAAATTAAACTAAGTCCACAAAATAATTGTTTGTGGTTGTAATTATTACTCCTCTATTCCTAATGTTAGCTTTCTTTTCCTTTACTGACATAACTATAATAATTATTACTATTTTTTACTTTAAGGTTAGTTTTAACTTAGCCAAATTATTGATTGATTTAATGAATGAGTGGTGTACGTTTAGAAAGTTTAGAGAATTTATATAAAAGGAAAAAAAAGGTGGATCGTAATTAAATGATTGTTTTATAATTATAAGACATCTCAGTTTTATAGTAATTTAAAATGTTTCAGAAATATTTAAATTGTACTTTTGCATACTTTTCTAATTGAAAAATTGAAAATATGAAAATTAAGTTTCTTTCTTCTGGCTAATTATGTTATTAAAATGAATTTATTGCGATCTCATCAAATGATTCAGCCATTATATCATATAAATTCACTGTTATAAGAAGAGAGAAAACAAATTGAAATTTTTGGAACCTTTTTTTTTAAATATTTAATGTAAATAACTTTTGATATTTAATTCATTTTCTTCTCAAATTTCTCCTCTTCTTTGCTATCTCTTCAAATGAATAAATATTCTTTTTGGGTATGCTAAAAATCTTCCCTTTTTCAATCTGAGAAATAAATACATTTCAAGATCAAACGCTTGAAAAGTATTAATTACAGGTATAATTAATAAGTGTTACGAAATTTCCTGATGATTGCAATATTAATTACTGGTATATAAGTTATATAAATAATTTAGAAATAAGTTAATTCAATAGAGATGTAAAGATTTACATAAAAATTTACACACTGTTATTAACAACTTAATTGTCTCAGAATATTTTGGATCAAAATTTGAAAAAGACATTTTTTTTTGGTAATTAAAATTTTTATTTTTTTACAACGAATTAGCTAAAAATTTCTGGAATTGTATCATGAAATTATCTTTAATCGATTACCTAATAGGTCAGCTGCAATAATCATTCAACCGTATGATAAGCCATTTGCGTTCCGATTTCTAAATTTTTCTTCGCAGTATTTACGGCGTTGACGAACGCCACTAATAAAACTGGTTTTAAAGCAACCACTCTCATTTAATATTGCTATTCGTCTTCTCTAACTGCGCAATGAGTTTAAATTTTGTTTTTGTTTTTGTTGCTTGGATAATTATTGAAGCGATTTTGTCGCATACATCGTTTGCTCAGAACATTCAAGAATCTGAGCTATGGATAAATACAACTTATCAGGCTGAAGATGTCGGAATTCGATGCGGAAAATTACCTCAATGTAAGGCATGGAATTCATGGTGGAAATTACAGGTAAGCTGATAAATAATTACATATATGATCAAATAACTATATGTACGATTAGAAAAAAAGCTCAAGCAAAAAATAATTTGTATTTGCATAAATAATCAAGATATGGTCATAATGACAAATCGTTGAAGTTGAATTAATTAAAAAAGACCTGTAATCTTATTTTATTTTGTTTGGCAATTAATTATTAATGCTTTAGTTTGTAACTTATTTAAATATACACCTGATTGATGATTTTTAATTTTTTCTTTTAACTTTTAATGCAATGTTTTACTTTCAGCTTTTGTTTCCAGTTTTTATTCATTATTATTTTCTCACTTTTCTTATTTTAAATGTTTAAATTAAAGTTTCAATCATTTCAGATAGGTGACATAACGCCTACGACCGAAATTATTGATTTGTTGTCATCACGAAAGGTAAAAGTATCATTAAATAGTATAGTGCAGCTGACAGCTTTTGGTTTACCGAAATATTTACTCTCTAAATATAAGGTTTTATTTATTTTTTATTTAACTTTTCACTTTAATTCTTTGATTTTAAACTTGTTTCCAATCTTTACTTATTGTTTTATTTTCATTTTTTATTTCCATACATTATTTACTAATATATAATTGTTGAACGACTAAATGATTTATTAAAATACACTTATCGAAGAACTTTTAAGATTGTACATATTAATTTCAAGAAAGTATGTGGAAATTACAGTCGATATTTGCTAATCGATTCAATCTCTGCAGCAAAGTTAGTTATTAAACCTTTATTACCTGATATGAGTGAACTGATAACTCTTTCACCTTTTTCCTCATTTTAATTTCTTAGAAAAAATAGTACTTCTTGATAATAATTTTATAGAATAGAATCACTTTATATTACATTTAACAATATTCGAGTAATTTCTACACTCTTTCTTCACTTCAATCAAACAAGAAAAGAAGTTGGAAGGAAAAGATTGGTACTAATTTCTTATTATTCAGAAAGCGTGGAATTAATTTATCTGAAATATGTAACAATTATGAAACTAAAAAGAAAGAATTTCTGGGTGTGGAAGATGGCAGAAATATTTATTCATATTTTTCAAACAGGTAAATTTGAATTTTTGCAAAGTAAAAATACATTTACGATCACAGTAACAAAGACCGTTTTGTTTTATTCATCTATATATCTATATATTTTTTTGAAAAAGAGAAAAAGACTATTGATTTAGACAGCTTTTGAATTTAAAGTTGCCAGAGAATATTTTCATGGATATTAGAAAATTTTGTATTTTCTAATAAAGGATAAAATTTTCACTAATTATCGGCAACTTTGAAATTTTAATGAAAATGTTTAAGTAATTATGTAATCTTTTCCATTTCTCAGCACAGAGATATCTCGGGAGCCTGATATATTAGAATTAGAAATGAACAAGCCAAATGGTTTATTAACTGAAAAAAAGAATCAAGATGATTTGCAACGGATCAAAAGATCACTGTTAATCCAATCAGAAGGAATTCACATTATCAATCCGAGAGCGAAAATCACTTATCAAGTAATTAGCTATAAATCAATGATATTCATTTTTTTAAATTAAATTTTGTTTTTTTTTAACTTTTTATTTTATTCAATATTTTGAAAATTAAGTAGTTATGTAAATTTGTAAACAAATAATTATAGATAAGTGCTAATTTCATGCAACTGGCATCAATGATCATTGTGCGTAATCAAAGGGTAGCTGATTTTTACGAACTTGGAGAAATGACATCAATACTTGAATTTCACAAAGGACTCCAAATAGATCTTGAACGAGTTTGTGCACCAAAAGAATTTAACACTAAAAATATCACTATCAATAAAGCAACAAAATGTTCGTTATCGTTTTTGTAATCATAAAACAAGAAAGGAAAAAAGATACAGTTATTTTCTTTACTTTCTTATCTCATGATTATTTGCATATTTAGTTCAACTACTTATTATTTAATATATTTTTATTTGAATTAATTAAATTTTTAGTCTTGCAAAATTGGAATGAAATGGAATCAAATAATGAAAAGGTCGATCTTTATCCAATTGTTAAATAATTATTATTTTTTTGAAATAGTATTAAATTTAAAAAGGAATTGAAATGTTGAAAGAAATTAAAAATTTTGTTATTTTCACCGATACGAAATAAATTGTAAAAATTAGATTTCTGAAATTTTAACAAAAAATTTAGATAGAAAACAATGGATATTCAAGAGAGAAAATTAACAATTTAACGATGTTTTTCAAGCGAGGCATTGAATTAAGCAATATTTTAAGTATATTTGATAGTGAAATAATGTCAAATATGGTACCACTCTCATCATCTCTCCTAATGACAATTCTCAATGAAAGTAATTATGATTCCAGGTTTGTCTCTCATTTCATTCATTCTTCTTTCTTCATTTTTGCTATCTTATAAAAGTTAATTAACTTTTAATCATCGATATTTTAAGGTCACCACCAATTATTCACAAAGGTAAAATTACGGAAGTATTTTTTGGAATACTAATTCAATCGATGTCAAATTTTGATCAAAATACAATGGTGCGATTAATTCTTCATTTTTTGCAGAAAAATTTTTTTTACAACTTCTAATTATTTAGGCTTAGAGAAACGAGATATTGTTAGTAATCAATTCTCATCCAAAATTCATTTCTTGTTTTTAAAAGATAAAAATTAGGATTATGATATGGATATGTGGTTACGTATGGCATGGCATGATCAACGTTTAGCGCATCAATTTGATCGACCAATTTTAGTCAATGATGAAAATTTCCTGAAGTTTGTATCTTAGTTTTTATATCTTAGTCGATAATTCATTTTAACCGAATCGCTCATTAGAAAAAATTTTTATTATAATAATTCAGGGATGGTTGAATTCTTTTCTTCCAAAATCACTTACAGCTATGATAATTTAGAAATATAATACTTATCCAGTCAGTGATAATTTACAGGAAAATTTGGCGTCCGGCACCATTTTTTCAGAATGCTAAAGAGGCTGAATATCATCGAATGATAACGTTAAATTTCTGGTTGTATATATTTCCTAATGGTGAAATTTTCTTCGAAACACAGTATGTTACTGTTAATTATCATCGATAGTTAACATAAATTCAATCGATTATTTAATAAATTTGCTATCTAAATATGCCCAAAAATTATTGTATTAAAATAAATAAATTTATAGGCACAGATTTTGTAATATAAAATATTTTAGCATTTACCTGAAACCATCATGCAAACTTATCCTTTGCAAATATCCTCATGACAATCAAGTATGCTCATTGAAGATTACTGCTAGTAAGCAATGTTTTATTTATCTTTTTCATTGTATAATTGCTTAATAGGAAGTTGTTGCACAGGTAAGAGAGTATAATATGAAAACAAAGTACAGTTTTTTTAAAAACATTTAAATTAAAGCATCTAAATGGGACAATAATCAAAAAATATATTATCTTCAATATGGCAGAAAAAGTTTACTTAAATTTCTGTGTTTGAATTATTTAAATTCACATCGCTATAAATTTGCTTGATGTTTATTTCAATACCTGGCACTTTTATTGTTCATATACAACAATAAGTTAATAGTTTGAAAATTAAATTATAACAAATAGCATCAGGTCAAAATTCAATACGATACATTTGGTTTCCTCGTTTAAGTGATGCAATTCGAATGAATAAACTTATGGAATCAGAACTTTACGTCGAGAAATGTTATAAGCGATATTGCAATGGTGTACGTAAAACAGGTATTTCATATAAACTTAAAATTTTAACTTCGTAAACATCAAACTGATTGTATTTACTTTACAAAGGCGAAAAGTTCAATTCATATGAAAAGATTGGAAAAAATATTCTCAAAAAAATATTTCGCTTATATTCTATTCTTACTTTAATTAGAGATTGAGAAACTTTGATATTTCATTCATCAATAATTAAATGAACAACAAATGTATAGTCATACTTTAAACAAATGCAACTATAATGAAATTATCCTAATGAAACTTAGAAATTTCTAACTCTAATCTTCACAGGTAACTTCTCATGTTTGGAAGCAAGCTGTCTACTGAAACGTAATCTTGGCTATCATATGACACGAACTTATGTTCCAACAGCAACTTGTGTTGTCTTTTCTTGGATTAGTGTTTGGTTACCTGAAGAATTCGTTACCGGTCGAATATTCGGCTCATTAACGCTATTTTTGACACTTAGTGCTGAAAGTAGCGCTGTTAAAGAAATGTTGCCGAAAGTTTCGTACATGAAGGTTATCATTTTTCTGATATAAAAACAAAATTTATAAAATAAAGGAAACGATTCAATTTTTCAATGCTTTATATTCTTTAGATCTTCTTTAATTTTGTTTCAAATTTGCTTTTATTGATTCCTTTTTAGGTTTTTATTCTGAACTGAAACGTTTAATACTAAACAAAATATTCCTTATAGGTATAAAAGGTATAGAAAAGGATTTTGAGCATATGAAATTGCAATTTGCAAAATTGTTCAGGCCATTGATCTCTGGTTTGGCTTCACGGCAAGTTTCGTCTTTATAACAATGCTCGAAGCTTTGATTGTCATTTCACTTGAACATAAATCCCGAAGACTGGTAAATTATTATTTTTTAATTTATCGCTGATAACACTCTTATCTATCCATTATTCCTACTTACTGCATATCAAATAATTATCAAATTCCATTTTTGTCTTTATTGAATTACTATTAAGAAATCCTTTGGTTAACTTTTTTTAAATAATTCTTTTCATTTTTTAATTATAATTATTTTTTATCTTTCTTTAGTTTACTTCATGGCATTAAATTTCATTTATTTCTTCAAAGATGAAAGTTTTTATTTATTAAACTGATTTTTGAAAGAAAAAGCAATTATTTCTTAACGTTAATGCAAAGAGTATTAGTTTAAATTTTTAACTTCCGAAAAAGATTTATAAAATTGAACTGCAAATTTTCTTCTATTGTCAAATCTATCTTTTGCTATTTTACACATTCGTTTAAATAATCAATCAATAACAAATAATTACAGCGGAAAAAAGCGGAGTCAGGTGTGGACGATATGTCTCGATATCAGATGATGTTACTTATGTTAGAGTCGGGTCGTTATCATTCAACCGCTCGTAACATCGATAGATATTGCCGAACGCTATATCCGGTCGTTTTCCTTCTCTTCCTTCTAATCTACTATTTCGTGATCATCGAGGGCGACGAAACAAAATGTCTTCGCAGGACTAACGATGAATTGTGAAATATATCATTGACTTCTATTCCAGTAGATTGAAATATATATTAAGTGTACTCTGACTTAAATCGCTAGCTGATCGTTACCTCAAGTAGTAAAACAATAAAATAATAATTAAAAAAACATTTTAGTTTGCTGAATGCTTATAAAGTTTAACTGATATTTTCATGTGCGCCATATTATTTAACGGAAACATTTCTATCACTTTTCAGACTTTTTCAACATTTTACGTTTGTAAAAGTCAAAACATAGCGATCTGCGATACATAAAATATAGCCATTTGCACCATTTATTACTTAACATTTTAATATAAATTTCATTTAAAATAATTCATAATGAAAGAAATAGTCTAATTATTTGAAATTTATCGAAATGTAATATATCTACATTTTAAGCCTAAATTTATATAAATTCATAAATCCTATTTGTTTTAATTTTAATAAAATTTATAGAATATATAGTTCTTCTATTGCAGCATACTAATGTTTATATTATACAACGAATTGAACAAAAATGAATAAGTGTAAAAGTAAATTAAAATTTCATGAAATTCGAAATTTTACTAGAATGGAAATAATTTTTTAATATATTGTTCTTTTTTTGGATGTACAGATAATTCCTTTGTCAGACAATGTCAAAAGAAAATTCAAATTTTAGAGAATCTGACAATTAAAAGAAATAAATTCGACGCAATTGGTGAAAGGAATAATTGATTTCCATATTCTTTTCTCGCATCTTTTTCGACAGTTTAAAAGATGACATTTTTTCAAAAATAAAAATGGAAAGGGAAGGCGGTTTACATTGTCGTGATCGACCCACAAAAACTATATAAATAGAAATTAATTTGAAAATTCAACATTTTATAATTATTTTTATGGTAAGACGTCAATTGGGAGTTCTATTTATTTGGCGTATGAAAGAATTTCATTACTGTCATCATCCATCTCTCCCATCATCATACCATTTGCATTCGCCTTTCAAAAAACTGGCATTAATAGTAATTAGTTGGTTGGCTGGTTCATTGGTTGATTAATTCCAACTATTGAAGATTATTCCAACAACTATCATGATGACATGATAGTTGTTGAATTTATTTCGCCGAATAGCGATATAATATTAATTGGTCATTATTTTTATAATTCATTTAAAATCATTGTTAAAATGAATGGAACTATTATGTTATATCTAACTGTCCCCTGAAATAGATATAATAGAGAAAATGAAATATCCTTGTTACATTAATTCAAAAATTTTTTGAATAAAATATGCTGAGTTTTTGTAATCGTATATTTAAATTAGTAATGCGAAAATCTAAAACATTTCAGTACAAACTCATTCTTTGATTGTAAAAACTATATTAATTATTCAAAAAATTAGGGAATGTACATTTTTTTTGATTCAAAAATTGCATAATTAATTTAATTTTGAAATCTGTCCATATGGTATTCATAAACCATAAGCTGATCTCTACAACGTTGTTTGTTTGATCAATTCGTTGCAGTTATCCCTCAATGTTTTGTCAATGTTATTTTGATAAGATAATATATTTGTATGATTGTTTGAACATTTCAATATTTCATCATTTTTATCGATCATAAAAATGAACAATTTATAAGGGATATATAAATTGAAGAAAATGGAAGATAAACATGAAAACTGTGATATTCGTCTGAAAAACAAAAAAAAAATTTTCAAACTTTTTAAAGTTTTTTTTGAAAAAAAAGTATAAATCACTCAGATCGAAAAGTTTTCATCAATTACTGAATGAATAATATACGAACTAAATCACTATTAGTATCAGTTGTCCTACTATTACTACTTTTACTACCAATGCAATCAATTTTAGAAAATATTGGAATGCAAAAAGATATTACTCTAACTATTGTTGAATTCTTTTTACTACTCTTCGAATTCTTTTTTTTTCACTTTTTAAAATGATATTTAGCGACTAAAACAATAACGGATATATTTTATTATTATTATTATTATTATCATTATTAATTAAAAATTTTTCAAACTTGAAATGTATCGTTTTTTTTTTCTTTTTCGCAAAAAATTTCTTAAAAGAAATATTTACTGTTAAAATTATGCAAAAGATAAGTTTAAAAAATTATCAAAAAAGGTTTTGATAACTTCGAATTTACTTATTAATAAAAAGAAACCTGTTTTTAATTAATTATTTTTTTCCCATAAAATAATTTCTTGACAGAAAAGGATGAAATCCAATATCGTGAAATTTTTCATCTTTATTGTTTACACAACTTTTTTTCCACTAACTCTTACTCATTTCTCTCATTCTTTTCTCATTTGTTTACAATGATTGTATTAACTTCAAGTTGAAAGATAATTTCATCTTTCAACTGATAATCTCAAAAATATTTCAGGCTGATAAGTATTAGTTTAATTGATGAAAAAGATCATAAAATGTGATGCGTTACTCTAAAATGTATTGTATATGACATTGTATCATTTGTTTTATTAGAAAAGCTAAGGTACCAAATTCCTTTCTATCGTTTTCATTTGTTATAATTCAGAAATTTAAATAATAAATGTGTCACAATGACGAAGTACAAGAATGTTCAACCAGAATAATTTGACAAAATTAATTTCGAGTAATCTATCGAATTATTCTTATCCGATCGTCTCGCCCATCTTATGTTCTTTTTTTATATCTGAGATGACTGACATAGCTCCGTCTGCAAATAGGCCATTGTTGTTCTTTTAAATGATCACAAACTTGGTTACAATATTTAGAAAAAAAACTTGATTTCGTTGATTAATTCCTCTCTTAAATTAATTCTCAGACAAATGATTTTATTCATTGAAAGAAATAACTTATTATGAATTAGATAGGATAAAAGAATTTTTTTAAAGAAAAGTCTAACATTATAAAAAATAAAAAAAATGGTCTGCTGGCTTCAGCGCAAAATTCAGGGATTTTTGTTATACCTTCAGATTCCTGACATCAAAATTGTTTGTTTCAGATAATTGAATCAAAAGTTTCAGATTCTTAACATCAAAATTGTTTGTTTCAGATTTTTAACATCAAAATTGCTTGTTTCAGATTCTTGGCACCAAAATTGCTTGTTTCAGATTTTCGACATCAAAAGTTTCAGATTCTTGACATCAAAATACTTTGTCATAAAATCTTTTCATATAATATGTTTTGTGCTATTAAAAAAATCTAGAAAGGATTAAGTAAAACAAGAAATCGCTGCTGATTGCTGCCGCTTTTTTGGTATTTTTCCGATAATTTTTCGTAAATATCATAAACATGCAAAATTGAAAGAATTATTATCTAAACATTACATTTTCTTATCACAGAAATATAAATTTTCTCATATTTTATAATTTACTTTGAAAGGGACTTTATTGTAATTAATAAACAGATTATATTACGGTAATAATTTTTTAAGAGTGAACAAAAATCAGCTATGAAATAGCTTCTGTGCTAGCATTTTCTCTTCATTGTGATAACTCGTTCATTTCCAAAACTGATTCATATTTTCTTCTTGCAAGGTAAAACAGTTTTTGAAGGACATGAACATCTTTGCTGTTCCGGTATGTCATGAAGAAATGATTTAAAGATTGGACAATCGTCTAAGTCGGGTAGTTAAAATAATGAGAATACCAATGCATTTTCAAGATATTGCTGACGGAAATATTTGAAGACAAAATCATTCTTTTCATTTATGCGATATGTATGCTTTTTGAAATATACGTATCAAAGATCAAATTTTTGAGAAAAATTTTTTTGCTACACACCGCCATTTGTTGTCGGGGTAAGATCGAAGGACGTACAATTTACCTTTAAACATTTGCCTAGTTAATGGTGATGCTTCAAGAATTAAGAGAAGTGATGGAAAAAGAAAATGAAAGAAGTAACCTTTGACCAAATTATCCATCAAACTGATAATGATCACTTCCATCCTCTCTTTATCCTAACTTCAATTCTTAGCATCGGTTGATTTAGTTGATTTATTCGACATTTGCCTAAGTTTTCTTCCTTTAAACTATTCAACATTTCAGATTTCAATTCTAAAATTTAGAAAAGAATATCAAGTGAGTTTAATTTCAATGAAAGATTCAGGCTATAAACTAATCTTTTTTTGAATTCAACTTTGCTAGATGGTGTAAAATTGATCTCATAACATAAAAATACAATTTATTCCACCCGATTTTGTTTGTTATGTTAGTAGAAAATAAACTCTTAAGCTTAAAATACAGAACCGAAAAAAGACTGGCAAAACTTGAAGCTTTCGAATTTTAAAATTTTATTAAAAAATCTTCAGAAATCGTATTTGCTTAACAAATGTCATTTTGTAAGATATAAATGAATTGCTTCTCCATTCCCCATTCTTAATTCAGCTAAAAATATTTTGCTTTTATCACTCAATTCCATTTTACCTTTAATCTATCATGTCATTTTGGTTCAGGTGACATTTACCAGAGAAACTCATGTTTAGAAAGACTAGCAAAGAGAATAAAAAGTTTTGGGGCCAAATAAGTTAGTCGAATTCATTACAACTGCAAGTTCTAAACGATAAAAAAAGCACGGACTTTGTTTTCGGTTTTCCTGAACGATCATTACACGTAAAGATATTTTTTTAACAAGTGAGAAACCATTCAGGCAAGAAGAATGAAATTATTAGTGGCTATTGTTTTGTTCTTTTTATCAGTTGCTGTATTGTCGAGTCCAGTGCCGAAGCCAGGTTTGTTTTAAATTCACTGATTTAAAAGGCATAATTTTTAATTAGATTATGAGATCTACAATTAAAGATGTTCGCTTATTATATATAATTTCATCTGCGATATTACAATTAACTTATAACGTATACATTTTTGATAAAATCTAAGCTTTCCGACTATCCATAAAACCTAAGCTTAGATTCTTTGACAATTATTCACAAAACTATGTTTGCATATCAAGAAATAAGTTAGCTTAAGTAATCTACACAGAGAATTTCAGAAGAGAGTGCTGAAACAGTCGAGAAACAAAAGGCTCCTGCTGTCAAGGTATTGAACTTACCTACTACTAAGATTAGTTTTAATTACAGGAAGAAATCAATCTCCTACTTCAAAAAAAGAACCTCAAACTTAAAAACTTAAACTGTTTGCTGTAACAATTCTGCATTTATAGGATTAAACTCTTAAGCTTATGGAATAGATCAACTTGTTCAAAAGTTTCTAGAATTTCAGGACGAAGTCCACAGCGTTTTTGATCTGCCTTATAAAAGATCAATCGTAAAATTTGGGTTTATGAAGGAAAATTTTAACTGCATTCAGCATCAAAACTTTTCGACGGATTCAAAACAATTCTTAATTTTTTTAAGTAAAAGAAGTGCAGATTAAGAAAGGTCCTTTGGTCCTTTAATATTTCTCCCTCTTTCTCTCTCTTTTATAGTTAGTTTCTCCTTTCTAAAAGTCTTTTTTTTCTAGAAATTAGTACCTTAATTGGAAGCATTAAAATTAAATGATAAATTTATGAATCATTTTTTCTGTCGAAAGTTCATTCATTCAATTCAGGTAGAAGAAAAGGATTCAAGAAAAGTTGGCAAAGAAGAAGCGAAAGAAGATAAGAAACATTCGAAATCAGAAGAAGCTTTGAATGAAGCAAAAAGAAATGAAGAATTAAAATCGGAACATTCAAAAAATGCAACGAAAGAAGAATCTGAGGAGGTACCAATAGCAACGAAAGAATCTGAGGTACCATCCACAGATGGCGAAAAAGAGCCTGGAAAAGATGAAGTGAAGGAAGATAATAAAAATGAGACTGAGAAATCCTTAGAAACAAACAAAAAGGAAGTAGAAGGAAGCGTCACAGCAGAGCCAAAAAATGATGGAACAGATGCTAGTGAAGTAAAAGAGAACGGAAAGTCTGCTGAAACATCGAAAGATGAGAAGCCTAAAGAAACGTCAAAAGAAGGCGAAAAGTCTGCAGAAAAATCAAAAGAAGACGAAAAGCCTGAAGAAATGCCAAAAGAAGTTAAGCCTGAGAAGCCAGTCAACGAAAAAAAAGATGAAAAGGACGAGAAGTCAACAGAAACAGTTAAAAATGAAGGAGAAAAATCAGTTGAGGTGGAGAAGGAAGGCGAAAAAACGGAGGAGAAAAAAACGACGGATGATGCAGAGAAGGAAGTAAAGGTGGATGAAAGTCCGGAAAAGAAAATGAAAGTGGCTGAAAGCCAGGAAAAGGAAGTGAAGGTGGATGAAAGTCCGGAAAAGGAAGAGAAATCGGAAACACCAGTGAAGTCAAGTAAGTTAACTAATGATCAGTTTTGAAGAGTAATTCCAATAATAGTAGAAGAGTGAAAAATAAAATTTACTGATTTCAATAAAGAATCCCACGGACCGAATCAGATGCAAGGCGTTATATTATTCTAAAATTTCGCTTAGGACAAGAGTTTAAAATTTTTCTTTGTAAAATTGCAACAGAAGTAGAAGTGGAAAAGATCTTGTGAATATACTCTAGTAATAATTAACAGAATTAAAACTTACGGAAATTGATAGTCAACTGCAGATGCATTATCAGTGTATACTTAAATGAGAAAGGCATTTTAGCTGAAAGTTCAAATTTCATCTAATCAAACATTAAATCAAAAAAGAACAGATCTTTTGAAAGTGAACGAATTGTCCAACATTTTTAATTCTTAAACTTTTCGATTGAACATTTTAGTTTTCATATAATTTAAAAAATTTTTCATAATTTATAACTTGAATATAAAAGTGATTCTAATTCAAATTAAATTGCCACCTACTGCTCTTTTTATAAAAACAAAGTATTTGTTAAAAATTAATTTGAACTAATTTTGAATTTATTTCAGGGTGAAGTTAATTTGAAAATAAACGATGGGCTAAAGAATGGAGAACTGCCAATTTACATGAATTTGTTAAAAAATGCTTAGCATTTCCATGGAAATCCTTTTCTCTGAATATTTCATTTGATGTATTTCCATTCGATTGCTCTATTTCAACGAACATTTACTTATTTATTTATTTTTTAACATTTTACAAAAAGCATTTTCAATATCAGTTCCTTCTTCTCATTCATAAATTGCGATACGTTCAATATTATTTATCATAAATTTCATTTTAAATTTTGTTCGAAACTTAACATTAACATATAGCACGCAAATTTTGATAGTCAAATTCATAAAAGCAAAACAAAATAGAATTAGAAAGCGATATTGACAAATTTTCTAATATGCATAATTTAGTACAATTACTTAATTGTCTCAGAGAACTATACTCAGTGAATTGAGATATTATTTGATAAGCAGGAGAGAAATTGAAATTTGAAATTGTTGACAATTATTATGAATGAGCGCAAGTATTTTGATGAATATAGTATTTTGCATTTATGAAATATTAATGATAAAATTTTGTGAAATTTCTGTAATCGCAATTTCCGGTATAGAAATTTTTGCAGTTCCGATGTAGAAAAATCGGAAATTAAAAAAAATGCAAAATGGAGTATTGTTGTTACTACTTCCAACTTATAATATAACAAAGGTATATCTACCTTATAAATGTTGAAAAATTAACAAAATCTCATGACTGTTTCTTCAAAATTAAAATAATATATGTGTGGTATGTTAAGACACAGCCATGAAATCGAATAATAGATTTCATGACTAAAATAAATTCAAAATGCATCAACCATTCTTCTAACATTCTCTCATAAGTATGCCGTTATTACTGAAATAATAATTAAAAGATAAAAGGTGAAAATTTAGAGAGTTAATTGTTAATTATAAGAAATAAGAATAAATGACCACTAGAAAATAATATTTGTTAAAACAAAATTTAAACAAAGAATTTTCTGTTATTTATTTATATTTACTTCTTTTTAAAAATTTAGAGTAATGATTGTTTTTCGATGAAAATTAGTTTAGAAAGAAAAGATAAAATAGAATAGAAATTATTATTTCGAAGCTTGCAGAAATTTTCGCATTTTTATTTGCAATGATAGGAACGATTTTTACATTACAAAATTATTAAAAACAAACAATCCTTTGTTTTATTAAATGGATCAAATTAAATGTTTTGTAATACATTTCAATTCAATTTTATTTTCAGTTATTTATTGAAGAAAAAACTATTAATCATAGTTATCATAGATTTTTATCAAAAATTTCTTAAACAATCGGGAAAATTTTTCTAATATATTTTTTGTGATGAATACAACGAAGTAAAGTTGGTAATTGTTAAAGTATAAGTAAATGAAAATGTTAATTAACAGGAATTATAAAGAAATATGCTTTATCGAAATCCACTTTACAATCATTTCAACAATTACAAATTTTCTTTTGTTTCCATTTATATCTACTCGAGTTAATACAATATGACTTGCTTTTCTAGAACATGTTTTTGTAGTATTCATGAAAACCATTTCATCTATTGCAAAATTTGATCAAGATAAATTATAGGCTAAGAAATTGAGGCGATAATACTTAAGGCAGTTCTCTCCGATGAGGCAATAATTGTATGATTTCTGGATATATTTGGATATATCTGTTGTAGATGTGAAAGTCATATTATCATTTACAACTCTTCCGCCTTTATTAGTATTAACCAATGGAAGTAATAAAGTGATGGTCAATTGAAGTCATTTAGTGACCAGTAGAAGTAATGAAATGATCAGTGGAGGCATTTTACGCTTCCATTCTGAGACACGTTTTTCACAGTGATATTGAAGGTATTGGCTGTGAAAGAGCCAGTGACGATGCGATGGTGTCCAAGTTCTGCAAGTTTTGAAGTTTTACGAGTTCAAGTCTTTGATCGGATTTGTGAAGATGAAGGGGAGGTCACTTCTTGAGGCTAATGATATTTAGTAGCAAGTGATAGGAAGAAGGAAATATTAGAGATGAAAAACAATAAGCGAGTGAAATTTTGCCAGATATGGGTTTAATGCGTTTGACACTCTGGACTAAAATTTGAGATCGATAGACAGGATGCAAGTTCACTCTCTGTAATTAGTAGTGAGAGATAGTAAAGATACGGATAAAGAATATTAGTAACAAAATTGAGGGACTACTTTTATACAGTTCAGAAGCATTTCGCATGAAATTAGCTTGGAATAAATATATTTCAAAAAGAAAGTGTAAGAAAATTGTTTTTTAGCACCGGCCTTTTAATCAGCAATGAAAACCGATTTGCAAAAAGCGATCGATGAGGTTTGTTTGCTCGCTTTGTATTTATTGATAAATAATTCTTGTAATCTATGGTGATTTTTTTATTATCTGCAGTGATTAAGCGACGTGCTATTTATTCAGACTAAATTGTTATCACGAATGATACACATTTTAAGACAAATAATACGAAATATTCTTCATTGATACTAATTTTTCTACTAACTTGCTGTTAAATAAAAATCAAGGCCCTTTGCAGATTTCTATTTTTCCGTCACTTTTATCATTGTTTGCTGTATAATTTAATAACCAAACTCATTTTTGCAGTTGGAACATTTTTCCGCAATTCTAAAAAATGCTGGCGGACTGTATGCTTCGGCGAGTGAATTGGTAAAATACTGTTTGCCTCATCGGACACTCAAAGAATTAATTGAAACTCTTTGGTGTGCCAAACTTCACTTCAATAAAAGGCAAAAAATTCGCAAACAAGTCCATGATATTATGCAACTAGTTTCAACAAATACTGCTAGCGCAATTATGATATATGCTATGGAAAAAAGGTAATTCTTCTAGCGCGTTTGGTGCATTAAATACTTCTATTTGTTGCGAAGGCATCTAGTCCTGCTGTAGTCAGGATAAAAGTGAAATAATATTTTTTTTTAATACATTAAAAATGAGTAATGGACACATTGAAACATCTCTATTTATTACATAAAGTTAAAACTTCCGTAAGGCCCATTAATCGAATATTCTGAAAAGGTATTATAGCATAAGTACTCCCAGATAACCGATTTTTTTTCTTCTAAGTATTTCAATTAAATGGTTTAAATCAAGCAATCACAATATTTCGAGATAACTCA